TAAGGGGAGTACCTAGCGCTGACGGGGTGTTTGCTCTCACCACTGTAGGCAGGACCCTGCGCATGTTGACCACAGAGATTCAGGGTGTCAACTGAGAAGGCAGTTGTGGTGCATGTCTCCTGATCACAGAGGGAGGGACAGCGCAGAACACTGTACAATCCTGTTATGTGCATATGGACGTTCAGAGAGCAGAATCCTGATTTGTTAGGGCCAGCAGAAGTCGCGGCACAGCTCTCAGGCGAGGCACCTCCTTTGTGCAGATAATCCACAAACCCTCTCAAACCCCATGGCATTTGCAAGAAAGCTACTGAACTATCCCAACATTGCATCCTCTTCCTTAAATAACAGGGCCTACAGTCTTCAACTAGTTTAAGCAAGAGTTTTTTGAGCAAAGGGAAAAAGCCTTATTGAAATGTAACCTTTGCTTGGGAGTAACTGGGGACATTTTCCTGGGTGTCATTACAGCAGGTATTCTCCAGATGAACATGAAAGGGCGCACCCAAAACAGTGTTAACAGAGTGAGCAGAGTCACAGAGGGGCGGGAAAGGTCCGTGTGTTCAGCATACCCCAAGTTTTTCAATACGATTAAGGTCTAATGTGTTGGAGAATTACAGCAAAAGATAAGGCTAAAAAATTAGGCCCTGTCCGGGGCACAGGAGAGCTGGTATTCTAGGCTAATGAGTTTTAGTTTTGTTCTATAAATTTTCCAACTATTTCCTGGTTGCCAAAGGAATCTTGTATTCAAGTTAATATGTACAGCAGCTATACTAAAAATATGTAGCACTTGTATCCACTTTAGCTCTTCACACCTGTAGCAGACATTACTAATTAATCCCAGCACTCTCTCCCCTGAGCCTGGAGACAATTTGAATATCCTTAACTGCGGCCCTCTGGACAGGCATTAAAAATTGATCAGAGTTTTTGTGAATTAAATCTTGTTTGCCACCCCTGGCTTATGAGGAAGCCATGCAAAGGATGAAGGTAGAGTCTTTCTGATTGAGGCCCTGGGGTGACTGAGAAAGCGGGGACAGTGGTGTGTGCTGAACCAATCCAGTGATGTTGGTATGTTGATGTCTTGAATTTGGTACCATGGAGACCAGCAGACTACAAATAAAATTTTACTTTTTTTATTTTTACTTTTTGCCAGCCCAGTACTGAATAATACTGAATGAGGGGCAGTGGGCAGGAAGAGGGCATCTACAATTCAAAGCCCTTGATTACCCTCTCTGCCCACCCCACTTCTCCCCCCCCCAGGATGACAGCCACTGCAGGCTGTACCTAGCCACAGAAGGCTTCAAGGGGTGTCCAACCTGAGGCCTGTGGGCCACATGATGACTCTGGGAGGAATTTGGGGCTTATCTATGATGTCAGATACCTCGAAAAGTATAAGTGGGCCTTTTTTTTTGCTCATCAGCTTTCATTAGAGTTTGTGTATTTAATATGTGGCCCAAGACAACTCTTAGTCTTTCAAAGTGTGGCATAGAAAAGTAAGGGTAGGGGGAGGGTGGGTGAAGAGAATGATATTGTGGGGATCATGCCTATAGTTTATTCTATTTGGGTACAGGTGAATTTGTCTAAAGGTTGAATATAAATGTCTTAGCATAA